CGAAGAAATTGAAAATATCGTCGGCCATTTGCCATGCATGACGTTGATATATGTTCATGACTGTTGACACTGTGGCAAACCCAAGACCATAAACCCACCATTTGAGGATGGATTTTACCACCCATTCAGGGTTTTGCTATTGGATTGAACGCATTGCAATCCACTGAGCCAACATCACCAGCCCGTCTTCAACGACAAAATTATTCTGGAAACGCTAGGGCTACACAGCGCGTGGAGATCCATCAGACAGCAACAAATGAATATTTTGACGATGAAAGGTTGGGAGTTGACATTTGACAGTTGAGATTCTGCGAGATGTTGCATTTACTATATTTGACTATAGCAAAAATCAAAGTTAAGGATTTAGACCGTGGAAAATGGAGATTCTGCCATCAAAAGTTGGATTATTACCACTATGGTTGTTGCAGCCTTGTTTACCATCCAAAATCCAGATTTAACATCGAACACGAGAGAAACCACACATGAAGTGGTGATAAGACATGATAAAACCCATGGAAACAACCAAGCCTAGGCGATTAACCAAGAATAATCGGATACTCGGACAGATTCGACAGTAAACCTTTGGTGAATGCTTAGTTGCATACCCTCTGGGAATCATTCCCTGGGATTCTAAACTGGCTGGCTGGGAAGTTCCAATGTTTCAAGGGAAAATGTTGGAAAATCATCTGAAAATGAATGACACTCACCCCACCAAATTTTCTGGGACCAGATAATCAACAAATACACCAGATTCGTCCAGATTCCACCAGGGTTTGGGGGGGTGTTTGTGAAGGAGAATGGGTTGTCGACATTCACAGCTGCTCATTTTGCGCTGTGTTGATTCATGCGCATGTCTTCCTAACGTGCTGGGATGATTCCCTGAAGCTCGAAACTAGGTTTGCTAAAGGCCCGAAGCTCGAAAAATCGGTTTGCATCTGGAAGTTTGGCAGGGGGGGCAATGCCCCAAACCCTTGAAATTAGGGTGCATTCATAATTTTCGCGCAAAGGTAGGTTCGCCAGACCCGTCAAATTAGCTTCCGTTCCAAATTTTGGTACGTGGGGGGCTCCAGTCCACCAAATCCCTCAAATTAGGTTGCGTCGTGTTGTGTCTTGATATTTTTGCGGAAAGGGATGCTAAAGGCCCGAAACTCCAAAAATAGGTTTGCTGGATGTTGCCATGAAAAACGCCAGGGAACTTTAAAGGACGTAATGATACGTAATGACTGATCACAGACTTAAGGCAAAGTAGCACACACTTTAAGTATCTTTAAGTAACACACACTTTGAAGATTTCGTCTGCTATTGCAATGTATGACGTTGATGACAAAGTCACACAGGTGTTGTGTCCTCAGTAGACCTTGGATCAAATTTCAACTTCGCAATCTTGGTTTTGATCATGTTGCTGCTGGTGTCCCAAATGGAAGTTGGGAGCACTTCAACCACCGTAGGCTCCTGCACTGAACCCAAATTAGTAGGCAGCATTGCTCAAGAACCAAGCCATGTCTCACAACAATTCAACTTGACTCCAGACATGACTATCATGCTATTTTATCAGGTAGCATGGTACCACATGCGCGCAACCTACTGACAAGACCAGGAATTCAGTTGATGCTTTTACTGGTTGAGATGTGTAAAATAAAACAGTAAAAAGGAAAGAAGCACAAGATCCAGCTCAATCAGACATGTTTCCAGTGCCTTTGGGCCAGCTTCTGGTTCCTCAACCGCTTCGCTGGAGCAGGTGAAAAGGTGACTGCACACAGCTGTGGAAGTCACAACTCTCAGGCCTCTCTCAAAATAAGGCACTCCAAAATATATATAATGTTTGTTTGATCAGCATTTTCTCTTGGAAACGGCAATTTAATTGCCGTGTCCCAGTGTCCTGTGTTTGGAACAACCCACTTTGATCTTCCAAGGTCAGGACCGCAGTGATTTTTGCTGTTTGGCCCATGGATGAAGCAGGTTCCTGTCCACAGCTGGATCTGAAGCCAGGAGGCACCGTTCTACTTTTGGGGTTCTTCCCATCTATACCAAGAACAGGAGACACAAATTTAATCTTTCACTCACCTCACCGTAATGCAAGCTGTTGAAACGTGTTGAAATACAGACCTCACGTTGGTACAATTGATGATCATGAAACCCCTTGAGCAAACCATGGACCGTGGACACCCTCCAGGCGCCTTGGTGGCCGCTTCTGGACGTGAATCAGCTTCGGATTGAGTGGTTTCCTTGGGCAAAACGCAGATTTCCAAGTGATTCTCATTTCGACCCACCTTTCGACAATGCCTTTCCGACCTTCAAATCTGTAACAGAATGCTTTTGCGTTCATACATATTCATTTACCATGCACGGAACACGTATTAAACTACGATATCTAAAATACTATGTGATGGTGAAACAAATGATTCTCTTGTTTGGTCGGTTTACCTGGCACAGTTTCCGGCCGAGAGTCTTCCACTATTTTGAAAGCTGCATCCTTCTTGATCTCCAGTTTTGCATCATCCGCCTGAAAGGTCGTCTCTTTGAGTTTCAAAGCATTGAGAAACTCCAACCAACCACCACGGATGAATCGGTCGACAACAATGGCTTGGAGCTGTGCTCGAGTCATAGCATGATAAAGACGCGCTCTGGTGAAATTGTCAGTGTCACCAGTGATTTGCGCATCAAAGCCAATGCAAATGATAAAGAGCTGCTCCAACCCTTTGGCATTGGTGTCCCAGTCGAGGATGAGTTCATCCTCTTTTCGGTCCTGATGTACAGCCTCTGGTAAGAAACGTAAAGATTCCTCAAAGGAAACCAACTGAATGTTGTAAGTTGGCGCGAAATCTGCCTCCAAGCGCTCCTCAAGATGTGACTTGAAAATCATGTGAAAATGCTCGTCTGGCACAAGCAATGCAACGTGCCGATCAAGCCGCATGCTGGGGTGCCTTTGCAGAATGAACCACAGAGCTTCCACTGTGTTTTGGGCAAAGTGCGCAAACAAATCACCATCATACCCTTCGGGCACCTCGAAAATAAATGACTTCAGTGGAGGGCCAGTTGTGCCAAGACATGTAGTTGCCTCACCATCTTGCAGCTGAAATGCGTTTGCTCCAAAGGCAACTCGTTTTGTGCTACGGACAACCTCCGTGAGGTTCACCCGGCGCATCTCAGGATAATTGTTGTCCAGTAAGAAGGACTGGGAAAGGTCTGAGAGAATCAACTTGTGCTGGGCACGAACTTCCTGGAATAACCTTTGGTTCGTTCTGAATATTTCATGTCCTTCATCAAAAACTGCGAGAACCAAGTCATCCGGCATCATCGTCAATTCCTGCACCCTAACAATCCAGGGTATCTTCATAGGAGGGTTTAGGATCTCCATAGCAGGGTTTGGGTCTCAACCCCTCGTGACGAGGGTCCGGAGCCCTCAAAAAATGAAGCTGAGGGCCCGCGAGGTACCGATGGTATATCCATCCCTTCTGGCCAGGGGTTGGTCTGGGTTTATACAATCTGCCTGCAGCTGTATAGGTTGTGATGATGTTGCTGCAGCATACCCATAGAATACAACTTCAAGAATGCTTTTTCTCTGTTTGAAAACTATCCTATCTTGGGAATCCTAGGTTCTACTTTAACTGTTTGTGGATTTTCATACTATATGTTTCACTCCCACGCACTCCATCCCGGATGGACGGCTGATTTTGCGTTGCTTCTCGCTGCTGTGCCGTGAAATTTCTCACGATGCCTCGCGGCCGTTGCAAGCGAGGACTTTCCGGTGTGTGGAGAGGGGGGCAGGTGGAAGCAAAAACTAACAATTAGGTGATCACCGTTATATATTGTTTATTATAGGCTCAAGGTGATCCTGGGTTCTTGGAGTCTAAGCCATGGAACTCCATGCCCTGGAAAAACAGATTCACAGAAACTTGCCTGCTTTTCAGTTTACTTGGTGTAAAATCCATGGAAGATATCCTGTGCTTATGACAAACCACCTAAGGAGTGCTTCGGCTACATATTCCCATGGAAGCCTTCCTGACATGTTCGAAAACAAAGAGGCCTGACAATACCTTGTTTCCAGACATCGTAGCTGTCAGCATTGGCTACACTGACATGGTGAACTACATTGATTTGGTTTTGGGTTTGTTCGAGATCAGTCCTGAAGGCCACTTGGCTATTTGAATTTAAAAAACATAAATACCACGTTTTCGAAATATCAGATTCCCCTGTGCACAGGGATATACACTTGTCTATAGATACATTATTGTTTGGTCCTGGAAAACCCTAGGTGAGATCCCCGTCACCCACCTGACAAACGTGTTCGCACATCTCGATGCAGAAGGTAGCAACAACCTGTCACAAGCACGCTTTATAAAAGACAGGAAGCAATGGGCTTCAAATGACCTTTGGCCGCATCCCTGTTTATGTTGTTTTATCATCCAATAAGTACGTATGGTTTGCCCAGTCTTCTATGGCCCTCTACGGTTTTCTATATTTTGGCAATTTGCAGCGACCCAGGAAGGTTATATTGTCTCCATGCTGTTGAGCTATTCACGGAGGTATTGGCGTAAAGCTTTGAAAAGAAAGACCCATACTCCTATTGCCCGCCGGCTCATAGCGGTTCTGAAACCACATCCCCGCCGTGCCCGCCCAAGTTGCCGAAAAGGAAACCGTAAAGGCCAGGTTAGGGGGTGCATGCCATGGTGACTTATGTACACCATGCAAGTGAAAAATATACCAAAAATATATTCATATGGTCCAAAGGCAAACTGAATAGACCAAAATCTGACCTCTGGCAATGCAATATTATCAATAGTGGGGGGGACATAAATGTGTGCATCCACTGGCAAGGCGACTAAGCGGATCCTATCATGGTGTCTGATGGCGAGGTGCGGGGCATCTGGGTTGTAGTGAATGTTTGCCATATGTATCTTTTTCACAAACCTCCAAAGTATGAAATGGGTGGACACTGGCATGCTCGGATTCAAACATACAGATTCGATCACATAAAATGTGCCATACATTACATGTCCATGTGCTATATACCCTGCCATCTCCAGGAGCCCCAAGAGTCCCAGTGCATCGACATCGACGACGAAGAGGTGGACAGACCTGCCCTTCCTGATGCCGCAGAGTCTCTAGGCCCTGATGTCTTCGAGATAGGTGATGATGAGGATGATAGCCAAGGCGTTTTGCCCCCGAATGACAACCATGAGAAACCTTCCTTGAAGAACAACCTTCATGAAGCAACCCTGCGACCTGATAACCATGAAGTGGTTGAGGACATGTGGTTGGTATACCGTGCAGCTCTAGATGCATGCATGGAAGCCGGATTCTCACAGGATCAATCCATGCACGCCTTGAAAGACACTGACGGTGATTTGAATCAGGCCCTGACAAAGTTGTATGATACCCAGTTCAAGGCTGAGGAAAAATACCGTGAAGACTTGATTCGGCAGGCTTTGGACATAGAGATGGCCTCTTGCTCGGACAGCCAGGTTGACTTTAGCCAGTGGGCAACAGAAGAACTCAAGGCCATGATTGATGAGGCCGCTTCCAGGCCAACAATTGACTCGATGCAGACTGTTCCAATGGAAATTGGTTTGGATGACCCTCCCAGCCAAGCTCATCCCCAGGGTGGGTTTGTTCTTGATGAGGACTTCTTGGCTGACGTTGCAGTTTCCCCCGGCGCCTTAGGTGCTGAGACCGTTAGCTTAGGTGATTCCCGACCTGAGGAGCCTCCTTCTGATGGACAGGATCAAGGTCATGACGAAGCTTGTGAGACAGTGGCTGACAGTGTGAGTGTGGGTTCCCCATCGCTTTGTTCCTCCCCAGAGCCGTGCAACAAAGACCCGCCCTTGCATGAAGATGACACAAAGACACCAGAGCAAGAATCTACTCAGGAGGGGTGACAATTATTTCCATGCACCATGCATGCATCTTTTGTGCTACTCATGTACTATTGCATGCCATGCATATTTTTATGGTATATATCTCATCGGCTATCTTATATTTTCATATCTATAAATGCACATTGCATGTGCACATGTGCTGCCAATTCACCCCGTTCGGAGGAGACCAACAATTTCTCAACCATTTGTGTCCGTGGCAAGACCAAGCCTGGAACTGCAGGGCAGCTTCTGCAGGCAAAGGCCAAGGTGAAAGCTGCGGCGCCAGTGTCCTGCATGCAAGCATTTTAGGCCCGAACAAAGAGTTCCATCCTGTAAATCTATCTTTTTTGTAATCCATCGCGCCCCTTCATCCATAAGAGTCTCTATATTTTCAAAAAAAGGGCGACATCACATCCTCTTAAGGTGGCGAAGCCTGGTGAAATTTACCCTGATCTTCCACCATTTCTCGATGAGATGAATGGCGAGCTTGCGGAGATTGAACCGCCTGTTTGTGCTGAGCAGGGCCAGCAGCGGGGGAGGAAACCCAAGAAGTCAAGCAAGAAGTCAAAGAAGGGTGCCAGAAAGGGGAAGGGAAAACCCAAAAGGGGAACCAAGGACAATAAAAAGGCACGTACCAAGGGAACTGGTAAGAAACTCCAGAAAATTGCCAAGGCAGCCAAGAAAGCCAGGAAAGCCGAGGCAGCCACTGAATCCCCGGGAGAGAAGGTGGAAAACAACGGTGTTGAGCCCATCGAGGATGGTGCAGGGGGTGAGTGTGCTCCCAGTGGCTCTTCCGGTTCCCGTTCAAAACGTCGCGGCGACCCCTCGAATTCCCCACATGACGATGTTGAGTTCACAATTCCAGAGAATTGTGTGGCACCCCCGGAGGGAATCAAATCCAATTTGGTTTACTCAAAGGCATACGTCATCAAAAAGAACCTTGGGGGAGATACTGATGAATGCCGATTGGCTGGACGACATGCGTCATGGCTCTTGCGAGAGAAAAATTTGGTTTCACCATCGCTGTCTGGGCCTCCCATCTACACGCCCAAGCCCCGAAAAGCTAAGGATGCTAAGGAACATGAAAGTGAGGATCTTGACACCAGTGAGGTTTCTGTCAAGCCTCGCAAGACATCCAAGAAGAAGAAGCTCTCCATTGACGGGGACAAGAAGGGCGACACCATCGAGATCGACGGGGAGGGTGGCAACTCTGGCGGCATGGCCGTTGAATCGTGAGTTCAGTCTTGAGCTTGGGGCATATATATTTTGGGGGACTGGGCTCTAATGTGAGCCTACAGCTGCTTCACAACGAGAGCTAAAGTTTGATAAATATCATATATATAATTCAAATTATATGATCACAATTTTTTGTGCGGGCTCTTCGTTGACATGTGGTACAATTTGCAACCACGCAGCGGCTCATTAGCTGCTCTTTAGGTTTCAGTGTGGGCGGAACGATTTACCCACATGTTCAAAATTTGGATTTCAACAAGTGATCGCAAAGATGACCAAAAAAACATAAACTGTTGCATGTTGCCATGATACATGCTTTAAAACACATAATTGCTTGGTGTCGGTCAAGCGGAAAAATTGCAGCATGCTTGAAAAGCACTTTGCTCTTGCTCATCCAAGTTCAAATGATCTGATCCCCACTATGGAAAGATTTTGGTTCAGGGTGCTGCAGGGTTTACCACCAGACCTCTAGCTTGTGCCGCCTGTACTTTATCTTTCGAGATGCCCAGAAAGGTTTCTTGGATGCACACCCCATTGACCCTGTGTCCTCATGGAACCAGTTGATGCACAAAGGCTTCCAGGAATCATGTCCTCACGCCGCCGGATGGGTGCAGCTACTTGAGGTTGTGTCCAAAAGTGCCAAACGTCGTGCCAAGCGTGACACCAAGCAGAAGAAGGATGAGGAACTGTTACTTGCTATATATAGATGTGCATGTTTAAGCTTTGACATGGTCTAAAGAATAAGTACCAAAAATTGCTTTGTTGGTATAGTCCCGCTTTAATTTTATAAAAGGAAAACATTAATATTTATATATGTACATAGAGCATGTGTTTGAACTTTTAGATGGTCTATTAAAGATTGCTTTCTTGTTATAGTTCTATAGCATATGAAATTATTTGTAGAAAAACCAACTATATAGATGAAGATGTGCATGTTTAAATTTTTAAATAGCCCAATGATAGGTTGTTGATATTCAAGCTTGTTCAGCCAATGCTTGCAATTTACAGGAACTCTGGGTGCATAAGCAAATCTTGGGGCTTGGAAAATACAAAAGTAGCATCATCCCCATTGAGACCCCTCAGGCCCATGAACTTTGAATTTGAAACAACCCATGCCGACATATATCTCTAAAATGCGGCGTCTTGGGATAGTGAGGCTGGTGCGAAAGTCGAAGCAGGGAAGGTCCAATGTGATCATCCCACTTCGGAAGCCCCCTGGCCAGTACCACCCCGGCTTTTTGCCAATCCGGCTCCTTCTGATTATGAATCTCATGGAAGCAGTGCCTTGTCGGGTGTCGGCAAGTGGTTTGCAAGTGGCTGGAGGGTGTGAACATTCATGCCTAGGGGCAACATTGTTATTTTCCTATTGACTTGCCATTGCCTTGCCCCCAAAAAAAACAAAAACACCCAAAAAGGAACCCCCACCCCCCCCCCGGGGGGGGGGGGTTCCTTTTTGGCACTTTTCCTTTGGGGAGGGATTCTTTAGGCAACCGGTTCAAGATTCTCAGGAAATTCCATGTTATATCTAAGGCTTTCGTGCCACCTGAACCGTATGATTGCGTCGACCTCTTCAGTGGCAAGAGGGCAATTAGCAAGGCTTACATTGCCCAGGGCAAGCGTGCTTGCTCATTGGATTTCGCCCACGATGAAAAGGATGTCACTTGTTGTTAATAAGGATCCACCTCTTTCCCCCATGATGTGAAAGTTGACAGCACGCAGCGTAGATCCCAGTCTGACCAGCCCATCTCTCATGTGAATAAACTTCTTATGTGGCTAAGGACATACTAAGCCCAGGAGGTTTCTTGAGATTCCTTTGGGCCGTGATGAATGTCATCCCCAATGGGCTGATAGCAGCTGGAGTGAAATGCAGTACATGGAGCATCGTCAACAGTAAGCTGGCTTATCTTAGTGGCCGGCATTGTGTATTGCAACATCCCCAAATTTGGCCCTTTCATACGTTTATAAATGGTAATCAATGGTTATACATGGGGTTGTAATCCATAAATGGTGCTACAATTGGTATTTAAAACTAAGGGCATGTGGGATAGTATATTTGGTTTTGAACGGGTAACATGTTGATTCTTTAGTGGTTTTGCCACATTTCACTCAGGAGGTACAAGCCGAAGATCAGAACAACGGCCGCTTGGACACCGGCTGCTTGGTTAAGAACCTGTTGGCTAGCTCTATCCTATCCATTGAACATATTTATATATTGTGACCCTGAGGCTTTACAAGAGTGTGAGGGATGGCAATTTGATGGTGGCTCGGGCGTGATCCTCAATTTTAAGCTTGCATGGTGCATAATGCCATGATGCAGAATTTATTGAAAAGAATCAAACTTTTGTCATGAGGTGGCTTTGTTAGTCTTGGCATGCCCCCATCGAAGAGCTCATTACCTACTTGAAAATCCAACTCAGTCACTGGTTCGGGACCCAAACCAAAGAAATGTGCCCATGTTGCGCATCTGAGCAGGTGAATCCTAATTTGTGTGAATGATGTGAACCCTTTGTGTTTCTAATCCTTGCCTTCCACACTGGTCCCACCAGATCTTCTGTCATCCTCGCCTTCGCAAAGTCTTGGATCTCCGCGGCCACCACAGCGTGAACACCCACCTGGGGCCGTACGGTGCGGCTACATGGAAGCCAGTTAAGCTGGTATCTGATGACCCTTGTGTGGAGAAACTTTGGAGGACCCAAAACGGTTGTTTATTGAGTAGATCTTAGATGTGGATGGTTGTCCAGGCTGAAACCTATTTGTGGTATCATCACCTGCCATTTGCGTGCAGGAAATTGGACAAATCCAAATTTGAGAAGAGTACCAGCACTCGCCAATACCAGAATGCAGACGGGGAGGTCAAGTTCCAAGGAACTCCCAACTTGGTGGATACACAAGTGTATCCTCCAAAGTTTGGAAGAAAGGTAACTTTGATGAAACCATATGTATGTTCAGTGTTTGGAGATCAAACGCGTTACCATCACACAATCAACATGATCGTTTAAACGGTTCTTTTTTATGCACATGAGATTAGTTCCCAAATCCACCATGCAGGCTGTCTGTGTGGCCTCATGAGGTATGCAAGGTGTTCACGAACTACGCATCGTCTCCATCCTGGCCCCAGCATGTTGACCACACCCCCGACAGCTGGAATGACGCAAAGATTCTAGCTTGCAAGAGGTTTGTCCGGGTGGGGACACAAATCTTTTGGAAAGGGTTGTCAACACACAGGGACTTAAATGTATATGATTGCCATCATATGAAACACCCACGATCATACCATTTTTGAATAGGTAAGAAGTGCACATGTATTTTGGTCCCCCAGTAATCTATGAAAGTTGCCCCTGCACTATAAGGCTGGACGAGGTGGAGTCCTTCCTGACTGATCATCTGAACCGGCGCAGCAGGGAAGGTTTCTAAACCGGCCCTAGAATCTATTGGTGCTGTGAACATGCAGTGATACACCACCACGGCACACATTTAATTAATTGGCAAGGGGGTGACATGTTAAAACTCCTATACATGCGACCATTTCGTTTGAAAGTAACCCCCTTTGCAACGCCTAGTGCGTGAGTTGCAACTTTAGACCCACAGTGCCACGACAAAGCTGGCTGTGCATGGATTTGATTTGGGGGTAGGTTCCCACAAGTATTTGGCCATTGTATTCGCAGGTTTTTAGCTATACAACTTCAAAAGCAATATTATGGATTCCCAGTGATAGCAATCCAATCTTGGGTCGAACAAACAAGAATTGGGGGGTTTGGTTCCATGAGCCTGTGACCACAAGAGGGATGGGTTTAAACTATTTCTGCTTTTCACTCCGGGTTGCTTTTGGATTTTTTGGGGTGCCATTTATATGCCACAAGGGACTGTTACCCCAAAGACTAAGTTGCACTACTTTGGACGCTTTTGTGAAGACCCTGGCCAAAAAAAGGATCACTAGTTTAGCCTATAGATCAGCATTTTTCCCATAGCCGTTCAATACCCAAAAGACTACGCCTAGACTACTTTGAACCAATTTTTGGATGCCTTAAGGGAGACCCGTACCAAGATAGGATTGGGATCACAATACAGCTTTAGTCTAAATGGAGAAACTTTTGTAAATTTGGAAATGCCAGATGTTCCAAACAGAACGCAATATATATAGATATCTTGAATCAGTTTCCGATGTCTTTCCGATGCCTTTCCGATGCCTTTCCGATGCCTTTCCGATATTTTCCCAATATTATATATATGATATGGATCCTGCATATCTATATATATATAATGTCATCAAGTAGGCATCGGAAAGGCATCGGGAAGTTTCTGATGGGTACCTCAAACAATGGGAGTTTGAGGGGCCCGACGTACCCCACATCGGAAACACATCGGAAACACATCGGAAGAAAATTGCCAAATCAGCGCCATCAACAAGCCTCACTCCAAATCATAAGCAGCTTTTGGGTTTGTTGATTAAATCTGCACTATTGGTTCATCAATTTGCAGGGCTTTCATAAAATACCTTGCTCATCCATGAAGCCATTTGGGGTTCCCGGCGCTGCAAGCTCAACCAGCTGTTGGGCATGGCAAGGTACCCAGAATCCACCTGCACATGCCAGCACTAGCTGATGGGTTCTCAGGGTTGTTGGGTGATGTTGGGTATGAGATGTATTATATAATGGATTCCCCAACAAGGGTTACTGATTTCCTGGTGAGGCGTACAACAATATCTACGCCACACCGCCGCCAAAGACTCGGCTAGCTTCACCTGGTTCCTTTGAGAGTGGTGCGACCACAGAAGATTATACCAGTGAATCCCAGGACAGAATTTACAGATATAGAGCAGGCATACAGATATGTCTCAATATTACCTTTTTTGGTTCCAAAAAATGAATGGTACTTTAAACCCCTTAACTTTAGTTCAATGTACTTTTCTGCAATCGGAAAAGGCCACCTCCACATTTATATACAGCCAGTTGGTTCCGGTGGTGCCCAAAAATGCTCTTGAAATAGATTGACCTATCTGGCTACTTTTGGCCCCATGCAGGAATCAGTTGCCGCGCCTGAAGCATGGCCACAATCTCTTGGTTTGGAGCGGCGACCTGATTCACAGGTTGCTTTGAATGAGTGCTCATCCCAGCACTGAAGAGCCCGGGCGGTGGTCTGAAATTTGACGACGGTATCCCACAAATATATATATATATATACGTAGCGATTGAAATTTGAGACCACCGTTATTTATATGGATTGCATTTTGTAATTTGTGATTCCTTGCTTCCATTTATATAGATTATAGTTCTCTATAATTGGGTATGCCCAGGGACATGTGAAACGGTATACAAATATAAATGGAAGCACGCGAGACTTATTGTATGTTTGTATGTGCGCGCATGTTGCAGGTCAATTTCACCAGCAGTCTTCTCAAGCCAAACAAGCCAAGATACCATTCCAGGTACCCCATCACAATTGCCAGCCCCAACAGCCACAGTGCCAGCACCCCGTGACACGCCACACAAATCCCAACCTTCAATCAAGCGACAGCTTCACCTAGACGAAGGCGACAACAAGAAGGCAAAGAGCCCAGCAACTCACACAGCAACAAAATCTGGCCCCAACGTCCCTGTGAAACGAGAGTTAGAACATGGTGTAATTTCCCAGCCAGCTAGCAAGGCAAACACTGGCACGGCAGCACCCTCTATGCCCCCACCTCGCTTGATGATCAAGGCCAAGCAGCTTCCACCACCTGGTCCGCCTCCCTCTGAGACTCCGAAGCAACCCATGCCCAGCATTCCCAAGCCCAGCGCAGCCAGACCAACGGTCAAGACAGAAGATCCAACACCACCATCAACAGAACCTGCCCCAACCACAACGGAGGACATCTTTGGAGATGACTCAGAAGGCAAGCCCGCATCAAACTTGCAAGCTGATGCAGCAAGCAACAGCACACCCCAGGAATCCACAAGCAATGACGGGAAACACACCGCAGCACCCACGCCCAAAGCAGAACCGGCTGTGGCGAAGCCAGCAGCACCTGCAATCCCATTGGGGATTACCCACAGTCCACCGGAGCTGCCGCCTACCCCCACTGCACCAAAGCTACCGCCCGCTGCACCAAAGTTACAATCTCCGCCAGCCAAAGCAACAATGCCATCCCCACCGAAACCAGCACCACCGAAACCAGCCCCATCAACCCACCTTGCCCTGATCAAGTCCGAGCAACACAAAGATGAGCAGGCAGCAAATCCCAAGAGCCAAGCAAATGCAGGTGGTGCCAAAGCAGTTCCCGCAGTTCCCGCAATCGAAGATGCCCCGCCGGCGCTGCCAAAAAGACCATCCGCAATCCGCGCATCCCCTCCAGCTGCAAAGCCCAAGCCACCACAGCCAGGCACTGCACAGACAACACCACAACAGCCAGACTCGACACAAGGTACACCCACACCAAAGCAAAGCAGCCCGACAGCGTCAGCAATTGCAAACAAAGTGACTGTGGCAGAAGGTGCTCAGGCTGGTACATACGCTGGTCAACACACTGTGCGGGCCAACTTTTTTGATGTGTTCTTTAGCCGCAACTTTCTAGCAGGCTGTCATCCCTGAAGACTATAATGAACGACAAGCACTTCAAGGTACATTCAAGAGGCCAGCCTTTGATTTGTTCACTTATTCCAAGTGAGCACGCATCGCGCTTCAGGTTGTTTCACGCTACATGTGAGTTACACAGCTGTATAGGTACAAGTGGCGACAGCCAGCTAGAAGTATGGTTTGTACCCATCATCATATTTATATACATGTTTAATATGTGTACGTACATATATGTTTTTTTAAATATAGATGTATATGTATGCATGCTATATATGATATATATAATGTTTTTCCTATATGTATAATCAAACATGGCATGGTCCCCTTATAAATGAAATATCATTGTACAATATGTATTTCAAAAAAAAATAATGCCATGTTTGATTACCGGATGTCATGCATTTTATTTACTTGGGGGTTAAAGGTTCAATCTGACATATCCACAAACCATATCCCCAACAAAATGTTTGGGTGTCCTACAGGAGAATGAAGGACCCTGAAGCGTGGGCGATCCCGGATGACTTTGTGGCCCTGTGGAAAGACGCTTGCGAGAACAAGACGAAGGCAAGGTAATGTGGGGTTAATCCCATCCTTGTATCAACCACATCCTTGTTCATCTCTTCTTTTTGCGGTTTTGAAAGTGATCCCTCTTTTTTGTTAGCTAGCTAGTTAATTGGCTCGATTCCCCACGGCCAGACCGCAAAGACAGCCCTCTTCGAAAAGTGGTTGAGTGCTGGAAAAGATTTCAGCTTGTCTTTTGGTTGCATGCAGTGGCCAACAAAAAGAACATGCATTATATAGGACGATTTTGACAACCCCTGATTTTAAAGGCCAAGTCCCAACCGAAGTTGAATTAGTCCAGATATTTTGCAATTTTAGCCATGTAATTTAATTAATTAATTATAATTATCCAAACCTTGTTCCCCAAGGCTGCACATCGAATGTTCTCGGAGCCACACTGACCGCAACACAGCGCAGAAGAAGATGGGCTGCTTGGCCTGTAGCGGTGGGCTGGGGCTTGCTGTGCCGGCCTAACGCCAACCCCAACCCCAACATGGCACATATGGGGATGTCTCAAAATGAGGTGCCCTTTTCCCCCCTTAATTACAATTAAAATTTTAAACCATGAAAAGGGCACCTCATTTTGAGACATACCCATGTCAAGATACCTAAGGCTGGCTAACGCGCCAGCAAATCATCAACTTACATGGTGGAGACATCGCTGTGGCCGACAGCATCATCCGGAAGAAGGAGGCAGATGGGGCTACCCAATTTCATCCAGATGACCCGGATTTGAAAACATACTATGCTGCTCGGTTTTGTACATGGGAAAATTGGCATATTCAAAAGATAGTTCCATGGTCCCTTTTGTCCGCCCAAGGTATGCACAACTTTGGCCCGGAAAGAGGAAGAGGAGGTTAGTGATACCATCAAAATCAAAACCAAGTTGGCCATCACTGCTGGTGGTGAGGCTTGACATCAGGGTCATGCACTTGGCAACGGCATATCTTTCCACGTGATATACACATGTGATATAGATATAGAGTATAAACCCTTTCCCATTGTATTACCTGTATGGGCCTCAAAGTGAGAACATCCAATGTTTAACGGTTTCTATAGGGGGTTCTATATTAGGGGGTTCTATATTATAGGACTATCACAATGTATACATGGGGTCCTCTTCCAGACATGCCCGCAGGGCTCCTCAAAGTTGATGCAAGGGATCCAGCACGACCGCTTCCTCTCGCTCAACGGCACTGTTGAGAGGCGAACATACCAAAAGCCCCAGGTTGAAGCCAACGCCAACATAACCGTGCTTGGGAACGGGAAGGGAAAAGGGAATCAGAAAGGAGGTGGCAGGAAAGCCAAGGCTCCAAAGTTGATTCTTAGCTCAAAATCACCATGCAATTCCATGCGTGTTGAAACTTAGAAAGTGGATGTGGAAAAAGGATCCCATATCCATCCAGTTTGCTCCAAGGATGCCAGACCCAGCAGAGGATCCAGTTGACGCTGTCAAGTGGATGGTTCAAAACCTGATGAAAGACCTACAGGAGGCCAAAATGTGGCCAATCAAAATGGCATCCATGAAGCACCAGGAGAAATTGCGTAATCTGGCTAAATTGTGGTATTAGCCAGCACCAATCCCACCAGTCCTTTGTTGTCTCATGTTGTCTCCTCTGAGGTAGCTCCTTGGCACAAGCCGCGCAATCGCTGGAGATCAACTACTTTGAACTGAAGGCAGTGGTTGACGAGGTTGCCCGAGCCGAGGACTGAAAAATTACGGGTACACCAAGCATATATGTGTTTTTCTCCCAGTGGCAAGTTTATTCAACATGCATTTTTTTCTTCCAGTGGCAAGTTTATTCTTTTATAGAGGGCATAAACATAATCAAATCTGACACCTGTATTTATGGATATACTGATGGACACTATCGGAGGAAGTACTTTCATCTTGTGCGATCTCACTATCCCCTCCCTGGGTATACCAACCCACTTGTACCATGGTGTCCCGTCAGGATCAAGATATTGAGTTTGATCTTGAGCCAGCTTGTTTCGACATACTTAGCAAAGCCGTTGATGCCCGGACCGACTACCATGAACTTGCAGAGCAAGCTGCCCAGCTATGCAAACCAGTTCGCAAAAAGAAGGCTTGACCATCAATTTATGATCATGGCCGTATTCATTTTCATCCCGTGAAATTGTTTTCCGATATCCTCCATGAAACCCTGACATGCCCCTTCCCCATTCCGTCAATCCTGTCAGGGAAAGGCCGCAGAGGATGAGAGCACAGCCTGAGAGCGCATGGTGCTGGTGACACACGGTGTAAAATTTTGGTATACAAAGGTCAACATGATGCCACGGAATCTGGACATGCTTAGATGTTACGCATGGGGAAGTGCGTGGCAAAGTCTCACGAAATATGGGCACCTAGCTCATTGAGCCTACCAACTGATCCCCACGATGCCGCATTGCTTTTTGATGTGCGTATACTCAAGACCATATCTTTGGGGTCTATTCAAGGGATTCGGTTGGCGTTTGCTCTTTGGTGGTGATCACGCCAACCAGCGCTACAAAAGTTTGCGCTGGCAGCAGAGAAAATCAGATGTCCAGAAGTATGCACTCTGTGGCCAGCCAATGGGAAAAAAACATATTCGCCGAGTTAACCAGAGAGGTTGCACAACAGTTGTCCTGCTTGTTTAGGGATTGCCGGGTTCAAATTGCAGGACTTTTGGGCCAAGAGTTGAGACGAGGATTACAGGACATAGAAATCTTGTATAAATTCCATCCACCTCGACCATCCTGTTAAAAGGTTTATCATGGTTTTATAATGGTTCAAGCCACCATTAATAACTATATGCACCATCTTTCGGACGTCCCCCCCTGAGGACAGAGCAAAGTCACCTGCAGCAGGGTCAACGGCGACGAACCCACCATCCAAGCGACCTCGGGCCGCGCAGGGGCCGCCGCAATTGGAGTTTGGGGATAATCTGGTTGATGAGTTTGCCACAGGGCAAAGCAGTGCCAGCCGGGTCACTGTGCCAGCATTGGGCATTCCTTGTATATTGATGTAATATTTTGTTAACCCCTGATTTCCCAGAAAGAGGCTTTATATTCATGATATGCGCACAATTTATGCCTTTTTTGTATAGTATGCAGTCAGGTTCAACGAACAACATCATCTGCAATGTCATGGTTATCCAAACATGGAGGTGAAGTCAAGAACCCCAAAACAGATCTGGTATCACAGTTGTCATGCTTGGGGGCTGGTGGCAAATTCCCTGCCAATGCAGAACGTGATATGCATCGCAAAATGCGAAGTGAAAACCGTACCATCAAGGCAAAGATTGATTTCAAACAAGTTCGACTTACTGACCCATCAACGGGGGAGGTCAGCTGGCAATCATTTCCCATCTTATTACCCCATGAGCTCCTCAAAGCACTTTGGGCTCGTGGCGAGGATACATTCAGAAAATGTATATTTGGTGATATGACGGAAACTGCTGTGGGGGACTACTGGCAACACATGGAGAATGTCTCTCCATGGTTTCAAAATCACCCCTTGCGGAGATATCGTTGCAGATCGCGCTTAGCAGCCATAGCGCCATATGGCGACGAGGTTCAGTGTTACAGAAATAGCGAGGCTGGAATCATCAGCGTTTGTGGGTGGTCTAGTGAATTTTGTTGGAAGGCCCCTCCATTGATGAGATATTACGCGTTGGCGCTGTGGTCGGAACACCATGAGTCTCCTTTTACGTACACTGACGTCATTGCGCATTTCATAGCATCGATGAAAAAATTGTCAGACCCGAATGAGGTTTTTCCCTGGACCCACAAGGGTTACCTTTTTCTGATGTCCGGTATACAAGGTGATCTCAAATGGCTGAACGAGAGGATGCAAGGCATCCACAACTATCGCCAGAATGAGTTTTGTTCGCGCTGCAAATGCTGCAAATCGCACCCGGATGTTTACAAGACCCTTCCAAATTTTTCATACAATGAAGGTGACCATGAAGCCAGGGATTACACCAATGTAGACTTGGGGCAGCTTTTCTCTCCGCTTTTCGACATGCCTGGCATGACAATCGAGTGTGTATTGCACGACATGATGCACTCTCAGTACTTAGGTACTGGAAAGCTGGTCAACGGCCCGGTGTTAACAAAAAGATACGTTAAAAAGTATTTTTTGCAAGTTGTAGTAACTTACAGTTTGGCACGCGTATAATTATATAGTTTGTTTATAGATCCATAGATTTGCATGCTAACACTCCAACAAATCCTGCAGGTGGATGTTTGATCTACATGGCCGAGGCCGGCGTTTGGGGTGACATGATGCATCAGGGTGGTGTCTACCATGATCGTTTAGCACCTGTACTTCGCGAAGCTCATCGGGACTTCCTGCAATGGAAAAAGGCCAACAAGGTGGAGTGCAGCCAGCCACGCTTCACGCCAGCACGGTTGCACAGGAGATTTCAAAACGGCATCTTGATTTCCACGTATATGAGTTCATCCGTTTTGTATGTTTTTACATGTGCGAGGTCAACAAGACATGGTTTTAGCTTATAAGCATGGCTGGTTTCCTATCCGGGTTTGACTTTCCTACCTAGGCTTTCCTGCCTTACAATCCAAAGCTATGGCAAGTAGAGCCCTCACTCTCTGGCTTGCTTCGAAAGCAGCGGTTTTCTCTAGTCGCGCTGGAGCTACTGTGGCTGACAAGATGATGTATGTGTGCATCGGATCTTACGCAAGCATGATGCGGGTTATGGATTCTAGTGAAAGAATCATGACAGAGGAACAAGCACAAGAATTTCACCAATTGACGCTGCGTCATTTGAGATCCTACGTATGGTTACACAAGGATGGAATGAATCCATCCAGGAGGGATACTCCTGGAAAAAAGTGTTTTCAACTGATTCCCAAACAACATCACCTATGGCATCATGCCTTTGATGTTCTTCGCACAAGGGTAAACCCTAAAGCATCCCAACTTTTGAGTGCGGAGTCATTCATTGGTGTGATGGGGCGTATTGGTAGGGCGTGCCATCGCTCTACGGTTTCTAGCAGGGCTTTGGAGAGGTACCTTTTGAAACTCCATGTCGTCATCCGCAGCTGAGTCCCCGGACAATGGAAAAGGGGGTGCGCCACTCAGGTGAGGAGTGTCCATGTTCAAAGCCCCAGTTTCAAAAGCAAAACATGGTTCCCATATCTGAGCTTAGGATCGATTATCAACAGGCTACTTCTATTCACATATAGCATCAGAATGTTTTGGTGATTCTATTGATCCCTATGGTTCATCATAGCTCCCCATGTTTGATGTTTGGCATGCCGTGTTGAATCGTGTTGAGCATTGTCCCAAAGCTGCTGGCAGCGGCAGGCAGGGTCCTGGGACCTCAGGGGTACCTCACCAGATTGCTAAATCCAAAGGTGTTCCCACGAGGGCCCATGCAAGAGGTGGATTCTTTGGGTAATACCAAAAGACTATTCAGGATTAGTTTGTATCCATCCAGTTGGTTCACCATTAATAGTCATTAAAAGTTACTAACCATCAACCATCACATCCATTACTCTAAAACATTAACAGGTTCATAAAACCATGTAAGATTTACCTAGAAATCCCCATGAAAATCCATGTTAAATCCCGACAACACTATTGGCTCCTTTGGATCTGCTGGAAAAAAGGGCTGTTAGAATCCATGGCGGTCCAAAGGATCCCCCCAGTTGGGATCAAAATTTGGGGCCGCATCCACAACCTCTGGGATACCCTCTCACCCTATAGTATTTGAGCAATTTGTAGACTGGAAAATTAACATTTACAGTTTACAAACTATAGTTATCTTAGTTTTTCTATGGGTTACTATAGTATCATTTGAGATAGGCACCCTCTGGTAATCAAACGCGGCAATGGAAAATCATGGAAAATCCGATCCATTGATGTGTGGTTAAAACAAAAATGAACCATCCCCAAATCACCATAAATACTGTGGGTGGTATAGACCATTCCCAAATGGGTAGTTTATTATTGTTTTTTATGGGAAAATCATCTATGGTGGATTTTCCATTGTCATGTTTGACTACCGGAAGGGACACCATCTATGAATTGATCATTTTCCATGGCAGACTCTGAAATTACGGGAAGGTAGTTCGCGACTCATACTTGGTGGCTCATTTCACTTGCTAAGTAGGTCATATCCCTGGTTATAAAGTGAGATAAGTAGGGTTAATCCACTTATAACTAGGGTTACAACCCACTTACTAAGTGGAATGAGCCACCAAGTATACCCCATCTGTTCACTGCGGATCTTTATCCAGTTCGATCCTCCCACTGCTTACTGCCAGATTTTTTTGCTAAGACTTATGAACCAATGAAACACTAGATGGACATCCCGATGCATTACCACCAGGGCGCAACTCCCGAACTTCACGGATGACAATCCCCCAATCTACATCAAATCCGGTCGAAGTATCATAAATCACTCACCTAAACATAGCTGAACAGTTCCGCCGGGCATGATCAAGTTCATCCAAATGACCATCCCCGAATTTATGGATTACCCTCTGGTAATTTGTTACATAGCTATTGAAAATACCACATAGAAATAGTTGATTTACCTATTCAAAATGGGTGGATATATATAGCTATGTAAACGTTTACCAGAGGATAATCCAACTTTTGACGATGTATGGCAGACATTTTGTACCCGATTGGAACTCTCGGAACCCCTGCGAGCTTGGACCGTTGCGTTTAAAACCTCGGTCTCCAGGTCTCGGCGGTCTCCAAGTGGTCAGATAGCCAAGTTGCATTGTAACTCGCTCAACTAGGGCCCGTGGAAAATATATACATATATCATATATCGATATCATACACACACATCTGTCTATATATATATATATCCATATATATATATGAATCTAAACAGCCTTCCTTTGAAAGCCTTGGATACCCTCGTGGACATCCATCAGTTTCCCCCCTCCAAAAACAAAAGTGTGCCCATATTATCTGGGTAAATGTGAATATTTCACTAACCTGAATCTTGCGGCCATATTGGGATGATTCCTCTTACTAACCATCATTCCCAGTGAGGGAAACAGTGAGGTCGTTATAAGTTACCCAAATATTATTTATGCTACGTTACCCCAAGGTAGTTTTCCCTATGGATTTCCCAGGCAATAGATTTCCCATTGAGAAAATTCACCAGAACCACCTGAAGCAAACCCAGGCAAACAACTAGGGATTTCAGATCATCCGTAAATCCGATGGTTTTTTTTGTCAACCCCTAAGCTGAAATCTGCGATTTGTTCGGTTTTTTTTTTGGATAGTTTAAGTTAAAATCTGTAAATCTCCTAACAGTTACCCTCTGACAATTTGTTACATAGATATTGAAAATTGCCCATAGAAATAGTTGAATTACCTATAAAAAATTGGGTGGGTTTTCGATAGTTTTTTGCAAACGTTTACTAGAGGGTAAGTCAGGCATGGATTGTTTGGATAATATACTTACTGGTGTTAAAACGTAGGGAATGGATGGGTTGCTGGGGGTTGCTGGGATTATTATTGATAGTTATTGTGGATCATTCCCGAAAATTCCCTACTAAGCACCAGTAAGTTATACATGTCTTGTATTCATATTGGATATATTGTTTTTTCTCACCACCATTTTACACTTAGATTTGTTAAGATTTTTGGACCTGGATAATTTAAGTTAAAACCTGTAAATCCACTAAGAGTTCAGTCAGCCATGGATTGTTTGGATTGTAAAAACATCGCCTTTTTGGGAGGTCCTTCATCAATGACCATTTCAGGTACCTAAACTGGAGCTACGACGTACCATGGAAAGCCATATATTGGCGGTAGATCCCCCTAGGCTTTAGACCTACAACCTGATATAACAGCAAATTACCCTCTGGTAATTTGTTACATAGCTATAGAAAATCACCATTTTTCATGGGTAAATCAACTTTAAATAGCTATTTTCAACAGCTATGTTAGTTTACCAGAGGGTAACTTAAGATGAATCTACCATAACCATCCATAACCCCTAGTTATTGTAGTTCTAAACCACCTGTGCTATCTTGGAGGGACCATATTTATGAAATCCCGATGTTTCACATGCCTTCGCATGCTGAGTTTCTGGCAGGATCCAAAGAGTTTGCTCCACAAAAACGGCGCCTCGCTGGGCCGGAGGATGACCATTGAGCCATGGGGTTTTCCTGGGATATACAAGTCATATAGAATCAATAACAATAACATGTCTCAGTATTTTTACACCAAAAATACACAAATTCGCAAGGTTTAATATGATATATATATATATAATATGGATGATGTCACTTTGAGATGCTTTTTGCTTTGCTGAATCAATAACAATAACATACATGAATCTGGGTAAATTAGAATATTTCACTAACCTGAATTAAGGCCTTTTGGGGATGATTTCCCTAACATAAACCATGATTTCCAGTGAGGTCGCAGTGAAGTCGTTATAATTTGCACAGATAGAATCAATAATCCATGTCATTGGGATTTTTGGCGGGATACTTGGGGATATTCTTCCTAGATGAAATCGGATAAATAAAACGAAACAATGTTGGGGAACATCTTTTTGAGCTACTCTCTTGTAAACTAGCATAGCTATTGAAAATTGCCACGTATAGTTGGGAGACATCTTTTTGAGCTATAGTGACTATGGCTGGTTGGTGGTGCAAAAACCACCTTGAAAAATGATGGAGTTCGTCAATGGGAAGGATGAAAACCCATATTAATGAAATGGAAAATAAAATTCATGTTCCAAACCACCAACCAGTTGATAACTGTGGAAAATCACCATGCTATTAATGGGTAAATCAACTATTTCTATGGGCCATTTTCATCCATTTTCAATAGCTATGTCACAAATTACCAAAGGGTAATCACCATTAATCACCATTAATCATGGATTAATCACCATTAATCACCATTTTCCAAACCACCAACCAGTATAGTGTTCAACAAATTCAGTTCATTCCTTGATTGATTGGTGTTTTTTCCGCTGCGTGCTGCAGCGATCAATTTCTGGTGCGAGGCCATCTGTACTTCCCCATCCCGAGATTTAAGAAGAATTGACTTGTGATTTCTCGAGGATGGCGGGTGAATGAATTGACCTATTAATAGCATGGTGATTTTAACCATGGTTTTTTGTATGTTTACTAGAGGGTATCCCATTGTAAATTAGCAATCTGCTTGGTGGTTGAGCCCTACCCCTCTGAAAAATGATGGGTGAAAGTCAGTTGGGATGATGACATTCCCAACTGAATGGAAAAATAAAATTCATGTTCCAAACCACCAATCAGATTTTGTAATTGAAGATTATGTAGTGATAAATCATCGGAATTCATAAGATTTGGGGTGTCCTATTGAATGAAAAAAACTTGTGAATATAATCATAATAATCATCAAATGGACACATGTTGTGAAGAAGATATTGTTACTCCCATATTGGTACGTGTGCAGAACATGTCTCATGCCAAGGCGAGACTTCTATAATTGATGGTGACTAGCTGAAGTGAATGGTTCCCAGAACAGTACGCAAGTGAAGTTCAACTCCTAAGTGGGTAATGACCCTAGGATCTGCCAGCAATAGATGGGAAATACCACCAGTGAGCAAGGT